AGATATGTTCACCGAACATAGACATGTCCCTGCTTGCCTGAGATATGTTCACCGAACATAGATATGTCCCTGCTTGCCTGAGATATGTTCACCGAACATAGACATGTCCCTGCTTGCCTGAGAAGATCCCATTGTGACCGCAGTATCTGTATAAAACCCTGTGATCTGTTGAATGAAACGTATTAAAAAGGTTAAATCCTTAAAGCTGAGGGATGGATACGTGAAATTGAAGATTTTTTGTATAGTCTAATCTTAGCACCATTCTGACTCTTTCAGGGGTGTAGCGAGAACCTTTGATTAGCTTTTTGTGGGTAGGTGGGGTCGACACATATAGTAGAATACTCGAAAATTGGTACATTTCTATTTTTCATCCCTATTTACATAAAATTCAGCCAAAMTCTTTGCCCCTTCCCGTTTTCTCTACCCTAATATGGTCTCGTTCTAGCTATTGAAATTATTTTCATTCTGACTTGATTTAAGATCATTAGGAAAGAGGGAAATAGAATAAAAATATCAACTGATCGATCTACTCACCAGGGTACTTCGACGACTTCCAAACAGTCCCGCATTCTCGATTATCATGACCATCGAATACTAAAACAAATGTCAGGATGATATTATCTTAAAAGATAATAGAAGCGACTACTATAATCATCAATATTTTCAGTTATACCAGCCTCAAAAACATTTGGTACATATAAAGAGTTTTTGGCCGTTTTAAGCCGTCTTGAAGGCAATTGCGTACGAGCGCTTATTGTAATCTATAGTAAATTGGCTCAGATTGTGATGTTGATTTTTTGTCGAAATTGATAACGAAGATCAAGTCGTTGACGATGATTACAATGATTTGTTTTATGATAAACCTAAACTCACCGCTGTGACAAGCCACAATGTGGTATCCCTGTGTTGTTCCCTTACAATTCGATTCCCAGACATAAGGATAGCTGTGCGAAATAATTATCCTGGGACATCTTTAAAAACAAAAATAGAAATATAAAAAAATTGTTTGATAATCGAAAAAAACCGTGATGATTTTAGTTTGGAAAGTGTTTTTATACTTACGCCGAAGCCGAACAGGCCGAGTCAAAATATTGGGCTCCCTTTGGTAACTGTTGAAATAATGAATACATTAATCACATAATTACCATCAAGAATTTGATTCTACTAAAAGCGGCCTGATCTCCCCAATAAAAGAGAACGTCATTTTTTACATACGCGATAAAAGACTGTATATAATGTTGAAATTGTGTTTGTTACGTCAATACGGAATGTACCTGAAAAAAAGAAATGGAAAATAACATTAGAAAAAACACTAACAGAACACTACAGGCTTAATATGGTCTTAGCTGGACAAAAAACMTACCCTCATAAGATGTTAGCGCGCGTATGTCAGCGTCTGAATTCTTTCGTGCGGTGAGAGTTCCAGTGGCCATTGGTACACACAATGAGGAATTAAAGCAGTTATTCTCATGTCGTTTGAAATGTTGAGTRTTTGAACCGCTTACAGACACGACCAGTGACCATCC